TACCCCAAACAGCACAACCCAATGCCCCCTATTCACAATCAAACATTCATATCGCTGAACAAGATGTTTCCGATCAAATTAATATACTCAACACTAATAAACCCCCAGGCTCTGATGGTGTTATTCCTAAAATTGTGAAAAAGCTTCATGCTTCTCTTAAATTACCTCTTATGTTATTATTCAATAAGACACTAGAGTCTGGTATAATACCTTTTAGTTGGAAACAAACAAATGTTAATGCTATTTATAAAGGAAATGGCTCATCTAATGATGTGTTAAATTACCGACCAATTTCAATTACATCATGCTTCAGTAAAATAATGGAAAATTTTTTTTTTTAAATATCTATACAACTTTTTGATTGAGAATGATATTATTACTAAGCATCAGTCTGGCTTTATACCTGGTGATTCTACTGTCAATCAGCTTTTGTTTATTTATAATGAAATTGCAAGCAATATGGATAAAGGAAAGGAGCTTCGATTTGTTTTTTGTGATATCAGTAAAGCCTTCGACAGAGTATAGCACAAAGGTCTTTTATTTAAATTGAAATTATATGGTATAAATGGAAATCTACTTTTGTGGTTTGAAAATTATCTGTCTAACAGAATGCAAAGAGTAAATACTGAAGGTTATTTTTCACAATTTAAGAATGTAAATGCAGGGGTACCTCAAGGATCTGTCCTCGGACCACTATTATTTCTTCTCTATATCAATGATATCACTACTAATGTTTCCACCAATATCAAACTTTTTGCTGATGACACTTCTCTGTATGTAATTATAGATAATAACCCAGCACAGGCCGCACAATCTCTCAACACTGATCTTACTAACATAGGTGAATGGGCAACAACTTGGGACATTAAATTCAATCCAAGTAAAACAAAATCACTCATATTTTCTAGAAAACAAGACACCCATCACATCCCACTATTTTTCCAAAATAGCCAAATCATAGACACATCATCACATCAACACTTAGGACTTACACTTCAAGATGATGCAACATGGAAACAGCACATACAGAATATATACAAAAAAGCTTACAATAGACTTAATATTCTTCGCCATGTCAAAACTAAAGTCAATAGAAAATCTTTAATTAAAATATATATGGGATTTATTAGGCCAATTTTGGAATATGCAGATATTATTTGGGATAATTGTACACAACAGGCAAAAGATATTCTTGAATCTGTACAATTAGAAGCAGCTAGGATAATAACAGGTCTTCGTTCTGGGGTATCACATGACAAACTATACAATGAACTAGGTTGGGAAACACTATCTGTAAGACGAAATAAACACAAACATGTAATGATGTACAAAATTATGCATTGGCAGACACCTCAATACTTACAAAATGTTTTAAATCCCTTTATTAATAATCAAAATGATAACCCCTACCCTCTCAGACAAACTAGGCTTTTCAACCCACCTTTATGTAGAACTAATAACTATTTTGACAGTTTTTTCCCTCAAATGTGCCGCACAATTAACATTGCAAATTCTGATCTTCTTAATTCTCCCTCTCCTGCAGCATTAAAAAAATATTTGAATAAAGATATTATTTCTGATAGTGAATCTGTTTCAATTTTCAAAACAGAAGGTAACCGAAGAGCAAGTATTATTCTATGTCGACTTCGAAACTCTTGCAGTAATTTAAATTATGATTTACACCATGACCATCTTACTAATAGTCCTGCTTGTACCTGCTCTGCTGAACATGAAACAGTATCTCATTACTTTTTGGAATGTCCTATTTTTAATAATCAAAGAACAACTTTGTTCACTTCTCTTAATAGTTATGGAAACCACAACCACATTGATAAAAACATTCTTCTCCAGGGCTGTCCTGATTGTGATGGGCTTACAAATAGAAGAATACTTGATGATGTGCATATTTTTATTGGAAAATCCCGTCGTTTTAATTTTTATATGACTTAAAGCCATGATGGTATACAAAAATATACTATATATTCTATATTTCATCCAGGAGATTCTAGTTGAGCATGACTACTGTCTATTGCGTGTACTTATCATGACATTGTAAATAATTACACTTTATATGTATTAAATGAATTTATTATTTTTAATTGTAACAGTTGTTGGTAGCAGTGACCTGTGCAATATATGCACATGGACTTTTGGTCTAAGCCTGCCAATATCTGTCTATGATAGTGTATATATATGCTGAAATAAATGTATTTGTACATGTACTTGTATGTGTGTGTAAGTGTGTGTGTGAGATGTTTCCTTCATGAGTTACTTCCCCTTATCCTTGTGTTATTATGAATTATTTTGTGTTATTTTTTTCATTTGCAACATGTCTAAAATATTATGTCTCCTTGTTTATTCAACTTTGGCCATTTGACGGAGAGAATTTATATAGGCTTTGCCTGTTATTCAATCCAATTGATTATGACATCTTGTCAATAAAATTTGATGAAATGAAATTACTATGATTACATTCGGGAAAATGCGCATGGAAGCGTAATTTAGCGTTCCCTGTGTATGGTCCAAATGCTAGGAATTGGGTTGCATCTTTAAGGCGTTGGTGCTGCATTGGATTATGAATGTTGTCTCCTTCCAGTTCTGATATTTCTATTGATTTTAGCTGGTATTGTCAGTGTTTGATGCTGTGGATTCCCGTATTTAAGGTAGACGGCTTCCCTTCCGTCTCTGTGATGGGGGTGGTCAGTAAGCTTTAAAAATATACATCCTTTTCCAGGTAACAAGGTTAAAAATAATCTTTCCTTCAAACAACGTAATTAATTTAAAGCAATCGAAAGTTTGATTAATGATAAGTCTATTGTAAATAAAGAGGCGGATAAAGGAGGTATGGTTGTTGTTATGGATAGTGAGTACTATCGTGATAAAATATTATAAATGCTGTCTGATGAGGATTTCTATCAAATCACATCTGAAAATATTGATTCTGTTACAATGAAACTTATCAAGAATGTCTTAGATCGTTGGAGTGAAGGTCTAATGGAGGAAGAGATTGATTACCTCAATTTTTTTTCGTTTCGTACGAGTAAGTATTTTTTATGGACTACCTAGGATACATAAGAGTAAAAATAATATTACATTTTTGCAGGAAATTGCGTTTAGAAGAAACAAATTGTGATAAAGAGGAATCTCCTGATAATGAAGGTTTAGTGAGAAACACATCTAAATGGAATCCGCCAAAAGTAGTGATTCGTACTTAGAATCCACTATTGAAGCTCTATGTCCAACTGCTAAAAGTTTCATTAAGGACGATTTTGACTTTTTATCTCGCGTACCTAAGACAGTGACAATTGATTCCAAATTGGTCTCTTTTGATATAGTTGGCCTTTATACTAACATACCACATGATTTAGGTATAAAGGATGTTAAATATTGGTTACAGGGATATCCGGACTATGTAAACGGAAGATTTATTAAAATAAATGTATAAGAAGCGCTCTTAAAATTGTTCTAGAAAGAAACACGTTTTATTTCAATGGTAACCATTATCAGCAATGTAAGGGTACGGCAATGGGTACTAAAGTTGCCCCTACTTATGCTACTTTAATGTTAGGATATTTGGAAGAGATTCTTTATGACAAAATAGAACAGAGTTCAGATTAAAAAATTTCCGAATTTTTGAAAAATAGTATTTTGAGATTTTTATATGATGGTTTTATCATCTCGGACAAGAATGTCTCTGCTTTTCATTCAGAGTTAGATTCCTTACACTCGGATATACAGTATACTATGGGAGTTAGTGATGATAAACTTCCTTTTCTAGATGTTTTGGTAGAATTAACAAACGGACACATATCTACAGATTTGTATTGCAAACCAACTGATTCCCAGAACTGTCTTTGATTTCATTCCAGTCACACCCAACATACAAAAGTTAACATACCATTTTGTTTGGCATCTAGATTAGTTACTATATAAGTTAGAGGAGCGATTAAATAATTTAGTAGATAATCTTAGAAAACAATGCTATCCAGACAAAATTATATTTAACGGTATTCAAAGAGCTAAGGAGAAGGGTCCGATTTCAGTTAACGACCGAAATAGTGCCAATACAAGTCAAAAGGATATTATATCGTTTGTTACAACATTCAACCCTAACAATTTTAACATGTTTCCAATTATGAAAGTTCACGAAGAAATTTTAAAGAATAGCAAAAAAATGAAACGTGTTTTGGAGAAGAAGAAAAGAATCTGAAACGTTTATTGTGATAGTCAAAATTTGATAAGAAAATAAATGTAAATTACAGCGTGACAAAGTGTATGAAACCGAGATGTGGAACATGTTCTATGATTGTTGAGTGTAACTCGTTTGTTTATAAAAATGTCAAAACATTTGAAATGAGATGTAATATGAATTGTAAATCAAGAAATGTAATATATGCTGTAATTTGTAAGAGATGCTCTGAATTTTACATAGATCAAACTTTTGCCTCAGTTTTCCTTAATCCTTAAGAATAGATTGATTTTTTTGTGTGTTTTGTTTTGATTGAATGCAGACAGAATACTCTCCGATTTAACCTAAAGTACTGTATTAATGTATCAAACCATAAAAAATCATACTTTTTTTTTATTTACATACCCTTTTTACTCTTGATGTCTATTTTACCATAAATAACTACCAAATAAACTTTACTTTATTATCAGAGTGGATTTTTCCGTTTTATCATAATTTATACAATTATATTGAAGGCCTGTTGTAACGGCGGATCCAGAGTTAGGACTGTGGCGGTTTCCAAGATGTCCGTCAAGTAGGTTTCCAAACTGAGAAAATTAAATATAACTGAGCTTCTCAGTTTTGACAAATATCCCATCTGTAAAACCTTGCGCTTATATAAAAAGTTGTGTCCCATTACGCAATCACACATAACGATAACTTTAAGACGCTGTTTTGATATTTCGTTTACTTCTAGAAACATTATAAACAACCCTTTCGCAATCAGGTTGTGTCAAAGTCTATGATTTTCGTCACATTCCGGATACTTTTGTCTGGACATCTCTTTTTACAAACGCCGACAAAGTCAAGCGTCTCGATGACAGAGATATCAACAATGGCTGTAAGTAGGACGTACCTGAAGTGTAAATTATAAGATATACTGCAACAAATAACACAACATTTGTCTACTATAGTCATTCTTTCTTATATTCATCATAATATGTCCATACAAGACTGCAAAATATATACTGAATATGCCTCGTTTGTGCTGTGTACAGTAACACTGTGTTCACCCCCGCGATCGTTTGGCCTTTTCATATTTTACGTATTTCCTTAAACTTTCGTGTACAAAATTAATGTACTTCGTAGTGTTATTTATTGGATTAAGTTTAAAGAATAGCTCCCTGTTTGGCTCTAAGTTTTTAAAACAACTTTGTGTTTTTATTTCACTTTATTCCCCATTTCAGTATAAAATTGTTACTCAAATGGGTAACTGTTACCCAAATGCAGGATTATTGCCTATATGAGCCGTTGTGCCCAACCTGTTGAAGTTGATAACAGGTTTGCCATCAATATGCGGAAAATTAACAGTACTAATACCAAAGTGAAAATTACTTTTCATCACAAACATAATGTAATGGGTTATTTTGCCTGTTTTTGCTCCGAATTTATGTGATATTATTTCAACATATTCCCAATTTCAGTAATAAGAATAGATTTTTAATGTATACAGTATCAGTCAGTTACCTAAATGGAGGATTATTAATTATCAATACAAAAGGTTGTGAACAACCTGTAAAATCTTGCTTTTAACTTCAGTATTTATATGATCTGTATTTATAGAATTTCAAGTTTCAGGGTGCTTAACATGAACTGTACTGTACATGAATCCATAATGAGTCATTAACTAAATTTCTAAGCCCTATTTCACATTCTGACTAAAGGATGATATATTTTTCAGTCATTAACATTACAAACAGAACCGTCAAGTAGCAAAGGAACTTCATCAAAGAGTGGTCGATTAGATCGGCTGAAAAATTTGGAATTACGCATGGTGAGTATATTATTTAGTAAATGTGTTTATACACACTAACATGAATAGTGTGTGAGTTTGTCAACAGACACAAACAAGTGTTTTTCATAATAACATCTACATATGTAGTATTCTTATCAACATCATCGAAATCCAAAGATTCTGCTCCTGTTATTTATTTTTCCTCATCCTTGGAACATGTCATGGCAAAATCGAAGGCTCAGGCTATGTAATAAATTTCAGGCATAAAAAAACCCCTTATAATTGATGGGCAATAATGCTGCTGTGTTATTCCTCTTATCTTGAATTACATAGATATCACAGGTATGCAGGATTTCTTAAGTGTTCAGACTAGTCAACTGTAATCCTTGGGAAGGTGGCCATGGTACTGGTGTATACATGAACAAAGCCTTCAGTTTCGTCATGACACATTCCAAAGGTGTAGAAATTATATATATATGAGGCTGGAACCTTTGGATTCAAAGATGTTTTCTCTAGTGATGCTATATGATCTGATCTGACCTGTCTTTTCTCTGGAATAGCATGTAGATTTTCATAAAACTTCTCATTTTCAAAGTTTGTGCTGAAAATTACTAATAAGATTGGAATGTGAGTATCAGGATTCCTCTAAAGTTAGTGTGGCTTCTGTTTTTAGAATGAAGCCAGAAAGCTGAACCATAAAGAAGTAGTCGAGGAAGACAGAAGAAATAAACTTCCTACAAATTTCGAACAGAAGAGAAAGCGGGTAGAGTGGGAGGAGGAGGAAGAAAAGAAGAGAAAGGTAACACCTTTAATATATCGGAAATACTAGGACTAATGTGCCCATGTATATGTTAAGAATATTTTGACTTACCATAAAAATATACCTTTCATTTTATTTATTAGGTTATTTTATTTCTGTTACCAAAAAACCAGATTCAGCTTTCAGGAGATCTTTTGAACTAATGACCCCAAGTGCCATACTGTGACATCTGTTTCCCACAAACCCGATTAGCATGGGGCCGCGCCATCCCCTTTTTCTCTGGCGCCATCCCCTTTTAAAGACTGATAAAATCTATGTTGTGTCTGCTAAATACCTGGCAGGAAAAAAGGGCACCTTACCGTAATTAACAGCTGATTAAATGTCCTTTTTGATCTAATGCAAGGCTAAAAAGGCACTTTAAGTAGCAGCTAATTGAAATGTCCCTTTTGGCTTAATGTGCCCTTTTGCTTGCCACTTCTCCGTACCTTTTTTTCCCCTGTTGGAAACACTAACCATTTTATTCATCAAAGTAAAACTTTATGACACAAACATTTTTTTTATTTAGTTATTGACATTTATTAAATACATACATACATACATATAGTGTTGCCCATATCCGTTCCATCCCGATTCAATGTAAACACTTAGCAACTTCATTCTTTGACAGATTTTGGTCAAACTTTATACAAAGGGACAACGCTCCATAAAATGGGGGGGGGGGGGGGGGGGGCATATAGTGTTGCTCATGTCTGTCCCGTCCAGATTCAATGTAAACACTAGCAACTTCATTCTTTGGCAGATTTTGGTCAAACTTTATACAAAGGTCAAGCGTGTGTATACTTCGAACATCGTTGTGTTTCACTATTCCAAGGTCAATGCCAAGATCACTGTTGCTATATATAGAAAATTGTCAACTGAGTCAATTTAAACACTTGGCAACTTCATTCTTTCACAGATTTTGGTCAAACTTTATATACAGGTCAAATATGGGTAAACCTCTGACATCCTTGTGTTTCAGGGTTCCCAGGTCAAGGCCAATGTCACTGTTGCTATATATAGAAAATCATCAACTGATTCAATTTAAACACTTAGCAACTTGATTCTTTCACAGATTTTGGTCAAACTTTATATAAAGGTCAAATATGGGTAAACATCTGACATCCTTGTGTTTCAACTTTCAGGGTTCCCAGGTCAAGGCCAAGGTCACTGTTGCTATATATAGAAAATCATCAACTGATTCAATTTAAACACTTAGCAACAAGGTCAATTATGGGTATACCTCTGACATCCTTGTGTTTCAGAATGGTAATAACATACAGAAAAAACATGAATATTAAAATCAACTTTAAGTGTAGTACATGTACCTTGTGTGTGTGCATGTTTCAGGGTATCAAGATCAAAGTGGTTGTAACTTTTTATAGAACATTGAACTAATTTCACATGGCAGCAGGGGGCATTTATGTCTTACAGACATTTTCTCGTTTTCTTTTATATCGCTTATATTTTAGATTAAGATGAAAATACCACCAATTTCTCTTTACATCCTAAGTAAATTTAGTTTTTGTTTTGCCATATTTTTTAGGTGCAAAATCATTATTTATAAGCCTTTTTCATATTTTTGACATGACTATTTTTTTGTATTCAAAAGTTACTAGCACAAATTAAAGAACATCAAAACCTTCCATTTCCAGGTAATATATATTTACCTGAACCAACATGGATCAGTCTGTACTTGAGTTGTATGATAAAGGAAATAACTTCAAAAACAGTTTATCTTTCTGATTTTAATCACCAGATGGATTTAAATTATGAAAACCTGGACTTACCATTTTCTGCCTACCCTGGTAATATGGTTTTAGTTTGTAAATATAATGAACATTTGTTTGATGAAATGTTACTGCAGGAGACTGAGGCTAAAGGAGAAGACTATGACAGAGTGAAATTGCTAGAAATTGGAGCGGACGAGGCAGAAAAATGGGCACGAAAAAAGAAGCAGAAGAACCCTGATCCAGGATTTTCTGGTTTGTTTGTTTTTTATATGGACGTGTAGCCTGATGTTTTGCTATATTTAGCTATGAAAATACTTCCATTTTATACAAGACAATGAAAGGCTAAGAAAATGCGAACATCGTAGTGGACTCCGTTTCCAACATATTGCTTTTTTTCTTAAAAACACACGTTTGGCTCAGCGGCGATCACCTCGCTATTGGTAACCCACATCTGCATGTGCCATCACAAGTTCAACGCTGTCAAAATGAAAATATATGAAAATATTTTTTAGCTTTTTAGCTGTTTATATGATATCTATTCCGTTGTCACTAACGTGTACTTGTGTACGTAATATTTAAAGTGCTACATACATAAAATTACTTTTTATTACAATTTTAATGATCAACTAAGTTAAAATTGAGGAGGCAAACAATGTGCTGTATGTGGATGTCCGTACACACATGCGGATGCTATGTCTATCTAAATGAGTCTCTGTTTGTACTTATTTGTTAATCTAGCGACTGTGGCCTAAATATTGTAATTTTTATTATTCAATTTATCTGTACAAAATATGATGAACCCCTATATACAACACAGAACAATTATTACAAGTTGAGTCAAATTAACGTAATTGCACTCCACCCCTTTCTTTTTAATATGCATGAGATATATGATTGAAATTGACAAACAAATGCTGTACAATAATTTATACTCAAAATGAGCAGCAATGCAATTATTTTTGCCCTTAGTTATAAAAACTTGAAACATTGTGAATAATGTACTGTTTGTGACATAAGTTTTCTTATATAGTTGCATTAAATATAGAGGTATTAAGAAGTTGATAATTTTTATATTTTTATTCTTTATGCAATCCAAATAATTAAAGAAGTTTACAAATACACAATTTCCATTTGAACCACCTGATCAGATATAATGTGCTAACATGGTCCAGTATTATTTGCTTTGTTCCTGACTTTCATCTGTCCGGTGATGCAGTTGAACATGTGCTGTTTATGGTTTGTTGGGTGGTACAGTTGTACATGTACTGTTTATGGGTTGTCGGGTTGTACAGTTGTACATGCACTGTTTATGGTTTGTCGGTTGGTACAGTTGTACATGTAGTGTTTATGGTTGGTCTGGTGGTACAGTTGTACATGTAGTGTTTATGGTTGGTCTGGTGGTACAGTTGTACATGTACTGTTTATGGTTTGTCGGGTGGTACAGTTGTAACTGTACTGTTTATGGTTTGTCGGGTTGTACAGTTGTACATGTACTGTTTATGGTTTTTCCGGTGGTACAGTTGTACATGTACTGTTTTTGGTTTGTCGGGTGGTACAGTTGTACATGAACTGTTTATGGTTTGTCGGGGGGTACAGTTGTAACTGTACTGTTTATGGTTTGTCCGGTTGTACAGTTGTACATGTACTGTTTATGGGTTGTCCGGTGGGACAGTTATACATGTACTGTTTATGGTTTGTCGGGTGGGACAGTTGTAACTGTACTGTTTATGGTTTGTCCGGTTGTACAGTTGTACATGTACTGTTTATGGGTTGTCCGGTGGGACAGTTATACATGTACTGTTTATGGTTTGTCGGGTGGTACGGTTGTAACTGTACTGTTTATGGTTTGTCGGGTTGTACACTTGTACATGTACTGTTTATGGTTTGTTGGGGGGTACAGTTGTACATGCACTGTTTATGGTTTGTCGGGTGGTAAAGTTGTACATGCACTGTTTATGGTTTGTCGGGTGGTAAAGTTGTACATGCACTGTTTATGGTTTGTCGGGTGGTAAAGTTGTACATGCACTGTTTATGGTTTGTCGGGTGGTACAGTTGTAACTGTTCTGTTTATGGTTTGTCGGGGTGTACAGTTGTACATGTACTGTTTATGGTGTGTCGGCTGGTACAGTTGTACATGTACTGTTTATGGATTGTCGGGTGGTTCAGTTGTACATGTACTGTTTATGGTTTTTCCGGTGGTACAGTTGTACATGTACTGTTTTTGGTTTGTCGGGTGGTACAGTTGTACATGAACTGTTTATGCTTTGTCGGGTGGTACAGTTGTACATGTACTGTTCATGGTTTGTCGGGTGGTACAGTTGTACATGGACTGTTTATGGTTTGTCCGGTGGTACAGTTTTACATGTACTGTTTATGGTTTGTCGGGTGGGACAGTTGTAACTGTACTGTTTATGGTTTGTCGGGTGGGACAGTTGTAACTGTACTGTTTATGGTTTGTCGGGTGGTACGGTTGTAACTGTACTGTTTATGGTTTGTCGGGTGGTACAATTGTACATGTACTGTTCATGGTTTGTCGGGTGGTACAGTTGTACATGGACTGTTTATGGTTTGTCCGGTGGTACAGTTGTCCATGTATTGTTTATGGTTTGTCAGATGGTACAGTTGTACCTCTACTGTTTATGGTGTGTCGGGTGGTACAGGTGTACATGTACTGTTTATGGTTTTTCCGGTGGTACAGTTGTACATGTACTGTTTATGGTTTGTCCGGTGGTACAGTTGTACATGTATTGTTTATGGTTTGTCAGATGGTACAGTTGTACATCTACTGTTTATGGTGTGTCGGGTGGTACAGTTGTACATGTACTGTTTATGGTTTGTCCGGTGGTACAGTTGTACATGTACTGTTTATGGTTTGCAAATAACATGCTTCTTTAACATGCATATTTTCCTTGAAATTGATCTTTATTCATTTCCCTGTTATCTAGCCTGAGGACATTGTTGTTAAATGGAAAATTGGAAGACACATAATCTACATACTAACTTAGGTACCCCCTTGCCCACCTGCTGACATCCATTTGATGTCATACCTGGACACAGGTATAAATTTGTGTCTATCTCAGAGTGCCAACATTTTTCAATTCCGTATAGGGCAACTAGTTTTGATAGGAATTATAGTTTTAGGTCACCTGAGCTTTAGCTCAAGTGACCTATTGCTATTGGTCTTCGTCCGTCGTCTGTTAACATTTAACATTTTCAACTTAAGCTGAAATACCATCTAAGGGATTTCATTGATACTTCATGGGAATGTTACTGACAACTCCCTGACCATGTGTTGTTAATTTTCGGGTCGATCAGAAATCCAATATGGCCGCCACGGCAGCCATTTTGAAAAAACTATTACAAACTTAAAGTAAAGTTCTACTGGGCCGATTTAACTGAAACTTGGTAGGAATGATCAACTCATGGTACTGACAAAGTGATGTTATTTTTCGGGTCGATCAGAAATCCAATATGGCCGTCACGGCAGCCATTTTGAAAAAACTACTACAAACTTAAAGTAAAGTTCTACTAGGCCGATTTAACTGAAACTTGGTAGGAATCATCAACTCATGGTCCTGACAAAGTGTTGTTATTTTTTGGGTCGATCAGAAATCCGAAATGGCCGCCACGGCCGTCATTTTGAAAAACTATTTCAAACTGAAAGTCATGTTCTACTGGGCCGATTTAACTGAAACTTGGTAGGAATGATCAACTCATGGTCCTGACAAAGTGTTGTTATTTTTTGGGTCGATCAGAAATCCGAAATGGCCGCCACGGCCGTCATTTTGAAAAACTATTTCAAACTGAAAGTAATGTTCAAGTTGGCCGATTTAACTGAAACTTGGTAGGAATGATCAACTCATGGTCCTGACAAAGTGTTGTTATTTTTTGGGTCGATCAGAAATCCGAAATGGCCGCCACGGCCGTCATTTTGAAAAACTATTTCAAACTGAAAGTAATGTTCAACTTGGCCGATTTAACTGAAACTTGGTAGGAATGATCAACTCATGATCCTGACAAAGTGTTGTTATTTTTTGCGTCAATCAGAAATTCGATATGGCCACCGTTTTGAAAATATATTTCAAACTTAAAGTCAAGTTCTACTGGGCCCATTTAACTGAAACTCGTAGGAATGATCAACTCATGGTCCTTGCAAAATGGGTTTTTTCAGGTCCATCAAAAATCCAATACGGCCGCCATGGCTGCCATTTTGGAAAAAAACTATTTAAAACTTAAAATCAAGTTCTAATAGGCCGAATTAACTGAAACTCGGTCTAGGAATGATCAACAATGCATTGTCCTGACTAACTTGACTGAAAGTGTCTGCTTAACTTTTTTTTACTCAAATTTTGGTAGGGATGATTGACATCATTATCTCCACTTCATATTTCAACAACAAAAAGTAATACTGTAGGACTCAGGTGACCGTTAGGCCCATGGGCCTCTTGTTTTCTTAAAAAGTGTGTTAGACACACTGGTAAATCTACCTGTAAAACTTACCTGTGGGAACTCAAGTACATGTATTATGCATTTTAAACTGACTTTCCAACTAAAATTAAAGAAAAAATAACCACATTTTTTTATCAATAGCATAGAGAGTATTGCTGTTTAATTCCCTCAAACTTGTGTGTTCGACAAATTTCTCATCAGTGCTCAGAAACTGAACATGCATTGCTACCAGTCTGTATTACCCTCTTCGGAGTCTGTCTGAAAATTCTGGCAAATTTGATATGGCTGGATGTATTTAATATACATAATGTCATCTTCAGCATAATTTGATTCCTCAAAACTAATATTAATTGGCAATCTGATGCTGTATGGCTGTTCTCAATCTCGTCTATTCCTTCCATGGTGGCTACCACAGTCATTGAACTTGTGACATCACAGCCGATAATTAAGGTCTCATTCACTGTGAGTTATGATTGTGCTAATTAGTAGTATAAGGACAGGTGAGAACTGTACATATTACGCGTCAATATCTTGGCATTGGGCTGGCCAATTTTGATTTGGTTTTCAACATTTTTGTTTTCGGATCATATGTAATAACAATATATTAATTTCCATTTTCATTTGGGGTATACATACTTTAAATCTAGCAAGACGTTGTGCAATTATTAACCCTTTCACCCCTAGGTAACTTAAGTAGACTCTACTTTAGTTTTATCTTGATGAGTCTATTGTGGTTCACAGTGGTGAAAGGGTTAATACATGAATGTAATACATTTCAGGAAAATAGGTCAAATCGCTTTCATTATGGCAGAAGTACTAGTGTTGTTTTAGGGTAGATACATATTACCAAAACATGAAACATACTTCAATACTTATTTCAGGGTATGAAGCAGCTACAAGGCGCCAGTATGACAGGCTCACTAAAAGTCTCAAGCCTGACATGGACAACTATAACAGACAAAAGGACAAGCTGTAAGTACTATCAAAGGGGAGATAACTAAATCATGTATATTGTACTGACATAGAATTTGTTAACAAGCTGTAATTTTTTTTTTACATCAAATAAATGCAGGATAATTGATTTAATCAAAACAGCAAAATTAGTAAGGATATACGCAAGAAAAATCAATTCAGTGACTAAAGTAGAAATTACATATTTTTCAACAGAGAAGAAGATTTCTATGCAACAGGGAACACACTGGGGCTTAATCAGCACAAAGATTCTGAGGAGTCTGTTGACAGAATGGTGACTGATCTTGAGAAACAGTAAGTACTGCTTGCATCTGAATTAATGTGACATCACACCAAAGAAGCATGTTTTCCTAGTGACAGCACATGATTGAATTTCCCTGCTCACGTTTGGCTCCTTTCTCCAGAAGCCATAATCAGAAAATTTATTTTGATTATGTTATGATTTGACAAATTTCTTTGATTTTGAGCCAATACTGTGTTCAATTTTGAGTTTGAACATTATTGTTTTCATATTTGTTTGGGAAAACACAAAATATGAATTTAAATCACATTTTTTTCTCTGACCAGGATTAAAAAGCGTGAGAAGTATAGTCGCCGCAGGACATTTGATGAAGATGCAGACATTGATTACATCAATGAACGTAACATGAAATTCAACAAGAAGTTGGAGAGATTCTATGGGACCTACACTGCTGAGATTAAACAGAATCTTGAGAGAGGAACAGCAGTGTGATCAAATGACCCTATGTTTGAAATTATTGATATCTTTTTACAAGTACCATTTCGGGTTTCATTCAAATCATACAATATCCAAAACCTTGTTTATGGTTATTGATGCAGATAACTCATATCCTGGTGAGAGAAGAGTATTCCTTGATTATTGCTACATCAAAGTTCCATATACCGGTACACTCTTAGTGGATGTATGAACACCATTTCAAGTAACAGTTTTAGGTTATGGCCTTATAAACTAAAACATTGCTTAATTATGTATACAAGGAATACCCACAAGTATACAATGGCATGGAAAATGATTTGTAAAGGTAAAGAAAAATAGAGTTATTGTATGTAAAACTGTGACAGATACAGATGGAGAGAGGGAGAGAGAGAGAATACTTTTTAAATATTTATATGCCTAAATTTGTTTGTGTATCATAAGTGTAGAAGACATATTACAGTTTGGCTTGCCAACAAACATTGGGAATTTACATAATTGCTTTTAATTACAAAAAAATGTTTGCTCTATGTCAAGTACATATTTTGTACTGTAATATTGGCGAAAATAGCACTGCCTCAAAAATTGTCATGTTTGCAGTACTATATTATCTGTATTTTTTGTATATAATTCTTAACAACTTTAAAGCAGACATTTCATGCAAATGTACAATGTTATTGTCCAGTAAAAAAATAAAGAATATTCATATTTTGATTTTATTGATTGAAAGATTTATTTGTCCATAATTTTCAGGCATATTTACAGTTGTAGTTTGATAATTAAAAAATACTGAAACAAATACCATGGATTGTATTGAGGTGTTGTATACTCTCATCTCAACTACATCTATAAACGGGGGCCGAGGTGGCCAAGTGGTTAAGATGTCTAACATTCCGCTACCACTAGCCCTCCACCACTGGGTCGCAGGTTCGAGGCCTACGTGGGGCAGTTGCCAGATACTGTCCACAGGTCAGTGGTTTTTCTCCAGGAACTCGGGCTTTCCTCCACCACCAAAACCTGGCACGTCCTTAAATGACCATAGCTGTTAATAGGACGTAAAACACAAACCAAACGAAACCAAACGAAACGTCTATAGACAAAGGATATATCTGTTCTTCATTCAATCCTTCAATTTAAATTGATGTTTTAAGGAAATCTGTCACAGCTGTGAGTCGCACCACATGAACTGCTGCAATAAGTGATATCTACACTGACATAATGCACCCGAAACGAGATTGCTCAACACAGTACTACTATAACTCTGAGTTTTTGTATGATCCTGCTACTTGTTACGAAAAGTGACATTTAACTTGTTTTTATGCATATTAAAAAACTTAAATTTATTGGAGTAGGAAAACAAATACTAGTCAAAATATATACTGATCACCTGTGTTCACAAAGGGACCATATAAACTATCCTTTGATGAATCAAAACGTTGCCCATTCATTTTCACCAGAACAAATTCGGAACGCAAAACAATCCACTAAACAGGATATTCCAATCTCTATAAACTGTCATTGCCTATAATCACATATTTACTTGTAATAAGCTGACTTTTTGGCCTTTTTTTGGAAAGACCACAGCTTAATGATAATGATAAATTTGAGACAAAGTGGCCCTTTTGACAATCTGATTAAAAACATGTTACATGACTTCGTTAACTTCGTACTACGCCTGAACGGAGCCATGTAACAGATGATTTTAATCAGATTGCCATATTGAGAGACTAAAATTGCATGCTTACTAGGTGAAATTGCTAAGAGACAATTGTTTATGATGTCGCAATATCATATGACGTCCGATCAATTAAAAAAAACCTATAACATTTTACCCTTTTGTTGTGTAGAACTTGCAACGTATGCCGATGGATATCATATAGTTCACAGTTAAGTCAATATTTCTATCTTTCACAACCGATTTAGATAGTTTTGAGTATAAGAAAAATCTGCCGTACTTGCGAGTTATATATAAAACTCAACGGGAAACCATTCAACAACTTCATTAACTGATTGATAAAGGTCCCCAAGCAAGTCCGTCAACAAGTTTCTACATATCTTCTGGAACACTTTGGATATAGATTTCACTGTTTTGATCTTCAACACTGACGAAATGACCACATGGTGGAGGAAACGATTCATTGTTAAAAAATGTAAAACTAAAATAATTTTTAGCTGTCCAGCAAACGGACAAAGTTCTGAGTAAAAACGTAACAAATAACTAAAATATTTTAATTGTACAAGTATTATAGAATTCTTTTCGTAGATGTTAATAAAACAACATTTTTTGGGAAAGCAAATGGAGACTCAAAATCTGAATAAGTGACATTCGGCGACAGACAGCTTTTGAAAGTTCACTTCTTAAAAATGATAAATAGTAAGTACATGTTATAATGATAGTAGAGATATAGATATAAAAAAATAAATAATATTAATATGAAATTAATAAGTTATTTTGTGATAACCTATTGTTATGATTTGCAATACAACACGAGGGTTGCAACAAATGACAGTCGGCCAATCAGGCAGCATGAACTGGAGCTGGCCAACACAGACAAATTAACCGTTCACTTTTGCGATTATCATACCAACATGTGAACCCACATAAATAGTTAAATAAATAAAATATCTACTGCTCTGTAATTCAACAACTCTCTACTCTAGTACAAACACCAACGTTGGACCAAAAACTCCACCGGGCGATAGTCAAGTAAACAAAACGCTATATATACTGATCTTCTTTTAAACTTACCGTAAACATGTGTTTGATGTGGAAATAGACACGAATCCTAAAATCTTTGGATGAATACTATTTTGTGTTCTTAGCAAATTTTACTGTTGCATTGTTTCTGAATTGTTTTAATCTAAAGACCCGGAATAAATCTGTCTAACATTGATGACACATTGAGATGAATGAATGATTTTTTGGCCTGGTGATTTCCCAATTTTCCCGTGTTCAAATGATGTGTCAACACCTTGTCTTATATTCCTGTGCCCTTTCGCTCTATTTTGTTGTATGTATGATACTTAATTATCCGCTGATTGATTCAAATTTTACCTAAAATTAATGAAAGGATACAATATGGGTACAAACAAGTAGTGAGCTTGGAGTACCTGCATAATATTCTTTTTACAAATTTGGTACTCGGGATAGATATTGGGTGTTGTACATGTGCGCTTCATAGGAACAGTGTTCATCATGAAGGTTTTGTCTTTGATAGCCAAGATATTCTTCTTCCAGTTAAATTAATTATTGAAGTATGTTTTTTCATTGTTGGTAAATTTGCATGGTTGTATTCCTCAGTTCAACTAACATTGGGTGATATCGCCGTCCAGGCTATCAAAAAGTGGATTTTAGTATTATTTCATTGCAGGCATAGTTGCATTTGTGTTTTTCTAAGATCGGCTAAGATAGTGTGATAATCTTTTAACATCCTAAGTATTGGTTTCATTAAAGGCTTCTCACAAAGTCGTAGTCGTGAATATTTTCTAAACAGAATATTTAAATTAAGTGTCCGATAACAGTTTGTCCTACTTAAAGACTTGCTATCCTCGTCGTTGACCAAGTGGAACCGGTGAAGAACTTGTATACTACATCGCAGTGACTGTTGGTTCCTGAAATTTTCAAAAACAACATTTAGTTTTAATGTATTTTATTTAAAGTATATGCCTAGCATTTAACAAATTCTAGTTCTGCACCTTCAGTATGTAACACGATATAGGTAAACATGAATACTTCTATTTGTTCTGGCATTGTACAGAAAGTTTGTTTTGATCAAACGAATTAGTAAAGTATTTAGGACTTGTAATAACGACAATGACAGTAGTTAAATGATTGCATCAATCAAATAGTTTTCTTGTACATTCTATATGAAGCAACATCATCACAACAAATACGGAGGGGACACTCGTATTTTACCGGAAAGCCGGGTAACGATCGTGAAAACACAATTAGTTGTGGTTGTCACAGAGACTGGTAATGATTATGGTGTGACCATTATTGTCATACAACAAGATGACGTTCGAGGAGTCTGGTCGCTTAATTTCGAGTTTTCGTTTGAAGACAGTTTTTGGTTTAACGAAACTTTCGTTTACACCTTTCAGAGCTCAAAGACTTATTATTTTCAAAGAACATGCAAGCGTGTGGATACATTCCACATGTGAAATTCTGCATGCGGGGGTATAGTGTTGAATATTTCAACGTAATTACTTACTTAAAGGTTATAGTCTTCTTTCTTAATTTCAACTGTTATATTAGCATACAGTTTTTCTTCTTTCTTGTGTAACACTCTATACTTTAGAGTGTTAAGCCCATCATTTTTGATCCGCCGAGTGGTGTTTCTCAATAATTGGAATCTGAAGATAGAAATATTAATAGAAATCAAATTCCAAGGTTCATCAAATTGTACCTCGCCTTGGCCTGCATAGTCAATATATAAAACAACAACATTACCTTCTTCCGTTTATATTTTATTGAATGATCGCATAGATAGCACAACATGTATAAAAATTAAATGCAGCATTTGAACAAAATCGAAAGCTATTTTTTATTCCTCAATGACTTTCTTTAGAATATCTTCTCACTTGTGGTATTTATGAAAATCTCTTTGATATTTGAAAATATTCCATAAAGCTTTATCACATAATTATATAATGCAGTGAATATTAACCCATGCAATATGACCTTTCAGTCCTGTGATTGGTTGTAAGTTTCAATTGTAACGTCACGCCTATGATAAGTTCATGACGTCACAGACTTACGCACTGGAGTAGAAATGGCGGCTTTTAACATTTCAAGTTTGCATGCAAATTGTCGTTTTACACCAATAAATACCACAAATCTTGATTATGTCATAAAAAGAATCTTGTACTCGTTTTCATTTCATATGAAATTACTTTTAATCAATCAAATCAATCAATCAATCTACCGCATCGCTAGTCAACTCATGAAATCAGTATTTGACAGATTTACAAACAATATTTCAAGTCACCTCTGCGGTAAGCTCAATTGAACCAAGAAGTCTTAGACATAAAACAGAATATCTTTTGTTTGTCCTCTAGCAAATTTTAAAAAACCCATACAAAATTAAATAAAACCGGTCCCGCGACTAGCTAGTTTATTGGTACATTCGCCGGGCAGGTTTTTGAAAGACCATTGATCTGTTGGAAATCATCCAATAATTCATGCTTATTAATCAATGAAAAGTGTCGTTATAACGCAAACGTGGTAGATTTACCAGTACCGCCATCCTTCGGAGATTTGATGACACAAATGTTTATTTACCATTAACACCTACCTTTTTAGTGACAAAAACGTGTAAATTTGGTGACACAACCATGTATCTAACAGTTATGCATACCTTTCAAGATTCGGTGACACAAACATGTATCTAACAGTTATGCCTACCTTTCAGGATTTGGTGACACAACCATGTATCTAACAGTTATGCCTACCTTTCAGGATTTGGTGACACAAACATGTATCTAACAGCTATGCCTACCTTATGGGATTTGGTGACACAACCATGTATCTAACAGTTAGTCTACCTTATGGGATTTGGTGACACAACCATGTATTTAACAGTTATGCCTACCTTTCGGGATTTGGTGACACAAACATGTATCTAACAGTTATGCCTACCTTATGGGATTTGGTGACACAACCATGTATTTAATAGTTATGCCTAACTTACAGGATTTTGTGACACAACCATGTATTTAACAGTTATGCCTAGCTTTCGTGATTTGGTGACACAACCATGTATTTAACAGTTATGCCTACATTTCGGGATTTGGTGACACAACCATGTATTTAACATTTATGCCTACATTTCGGGATTTGGTGACACAAACATGTATCTAACAGTTATGCCTACCTTATGGGATTTGGTGACCCAACCATGTATCTAACAGTTATGCCTACCTTTCAGGATTCGGTGACACAACCATGTATCTAACCGTTATGCCTACCTTTCAGGATTTGGTGACACAAACATGTATTTAACAGTTATGCCTACCTTTCGGGATTTGGTGACACAAACATGTATCTAACAGTTATGCCTACCTTTCAGGATTTGGTGACACAAACATGTATTTAACAGTTATGCCTACCGTTCGGGATTTGGTGACACAACCATGTATTTAACAGTTATGCCTACCTTATAGGATTTGGTGACCCAACCATGTATTTAAAATTTATGCGTACCTTATGGGATTTTGTGACACAACCATTTATCTAACAGTTATGCCTAACTTATAGGATTTTGTGACAGAACCATGTATTTAACAGTTATGCGCACCTTATAGGATCTTGTGACACAACCATGTATTTAACAGTTATGCCTACCTTATGGGATTTTGTGACAGAACCATGTTTCTAACAGTTATGCCTACCTTATAGGATTTTATGACACAACCATGTATTTAACACTTATGCCTACCTTTCGGGATTTGGTGACACAACCATGTATTTAACAGTTATGCCTACCTTGCGGGATTTGGTGACACAACCATGTATCTAACAGTTATGCCTACCTTATGGGATTTGGTGATACAACCATGTATGTAACAGTTATGCCTACCTTATGGGATTTGGTGACACAACCATGTATTTAACAGTTATGCCTACCTTACAGGATTTTGTGACACAACCATGTATTTAACAGTTATGCCTACCTTTCGTGATTTGGTGACACAACCATGTATTTAACAGTTATGCCTACCTTTCGTGATTTGGTGACAAAACCATGTATTTAACAGTTATGCCTACATTTCGGGATTCGGTGACACAACCATGTATTTAACAGTTATGCCTACCTTTCGTGATTTGATGACAAAACCATGTATTTAACAGTTATGCCTACCTTATGGGATTTGGTGATACAACCATGTATGTAACAGTTATGCCTACCTTATGGGATTCGGTGACACAATCATGTATCTAACAGTTATGGCTACCTTTCGGGATTTGGTGACCCAACCATGCATTAACAGTTATGCCTACCTTATGGGATTTGGTGATACAACCATGTATGTAACAGTTATGCCTACCTTATGGGATTCGGTGACACAATCATGTATCTAACAGTTATGGCTACCTTTCGGGATTTGGTGACCCAACCATGCATTAACAGTTATGCCTACCTTATGGGATTTGGTGACACAACCATGTATTTAACAGTTTTTGGTGACACCAACATGTATTTAACAGTTATGCCTACCTTATATGATCTTGTGACACAACCATGTATCTAACAGTTATGCCTACCTTTCGGGATTTGGTGAGACAACCTTGTATTTAACAGTTATGCTACCTTTCGGGTTTTGTAGAGACAACCTTGTATTAAACAGTTATGCGTACCTTATCGGATTTGGTGACACAAACATGTATTTAACAGTTATGGGTACCTTATGGGATTTGGTGACACAAACATGTAATTAACAGTTATGCCTTCCTTCGGGATTTGGTGACACAACCATGTATCTAACAGTTATGCCTACCTTTCGGGATTTGGTGAGACAACCTTGTATTTAACAGTTATGCGTACCTTATCGGATTTGGTGACACAAACATGTATTTAACAGTTATGCCTACCTTTCGGGTTTTGGTGAGACAACCTTGTATTTAACAGTTATGCGTACCTTTCGGGTTTTGGTGTGACAACCTTGTAGTTAACAGTTATGCGTACCTTATGGGATTTGGTGACACAAACATGTATTCAACAGTTATGCCTACCTTATGGGATTTGGTGACACAAACATGTATCTAACAGTTATGCCTACCTTTCGGGATTTGGTGACGCAACCATGCATTAACAGTTATGCCTACCTTTCGTGATTTGGTGACACAACCATGTATCTAACAGTTATGCTACCTTTCGGGATCTGGTGAGACAACCTTGCGTTTAACAGTTATGCGTACCTTATCGGATTTGGTGACACAACCATGTGGTGACACAACCATGTATCTAACAGTTATGCTGCCTTTCGGGATCTGGTGAGACAACCTTGCGTTTAACAGTTATGCGCACCTTATCGGATTTGGTGACACCAACATGTATTTAACAGTTATGCCTACCTTTCGGGATTTGGTGACACAACCATGCATTAACAGTTATGCCTACCTTTCGTGATTTGGTGACACAACCATGTATTTAACGTACCTTATGGGATTTGGTGACACAAACATGGAATTAACAGTTATGCGTACCTGATGGGATTTGGTGACACAACCATGTATTTAACATTTATGCTACCTTTTGGGTTTTGGTGAGACAACCTTGTATTTAACAGTTATGCGTACCTTATCGGATTTGGTGACACAACCATGTATTTAACAGTTATGCTATGCCTACCTTTTGGGATTTGGTGAAACAACCATGTATCTAACTGTTATGCTATGCCTACCTTTTGGGATTTGGTGACACAAACATGTATCTAACAGTTATTCTATGCCTACCTTATTGGATTTGGTGACACAATTAAGTATCTAACAGTTATTCTATGCCTACCTTTTGGGATTTGGTGACACAAACATGTATATAACAGTTATGCCTACCTTTCGGGATTTGGTGACTCAACCATGCATTAACAGTTATGCCTACCTTTCGTGATTTGGTGACACAACCATGTATCTAACAGTTATGCTACCTTTCGGGATCTGGTGAGACAACCTTGTATTTAACAGTTATGCGTACCTTATCGGATTTGGTGACACAAACATGTATTTAACAGTTATAGGTACCTCATGGGATTTGGTGACAGAAACATGTAATTAACAGTTATGCGTATCTGATGGGATTTGGTGACACAAACATGTATCTAACAGTTATGCCTACCTTATGGGATATCGGATTTTGTGACACAAACATGTATTAAACAGTTATGCCTACCTTATGGGATATTGTGACACAACCATGTACCTAACAGTTATGCCTACCTTTCGGGATTTGGTGACGCAACCATGTATTTAACAGTTATGTCTTTCTTATGGGATTTGGTGACACAAACATGTATCTAATAGTTATGCCTACCTTTCGGGATTTGGTGACACAACCATGTATTTAACAGTTATGCCTACCTTTCGGGTTTTGGTGAGACAACCTTGTATTTAACAGTTATGCGTACCTTATCGGATTTTGTGACACAAACATGTATTTAACAGTTATGCCTACCTTATGGGATATTGTGACACAACCATGTATTTAACAGTTATGCCTACCTTTCGGGATTTGGTGACACAACCATGTATTTAACAGTTATGTCTTTCTTATGGGATTTGGTGACACAAACATGTATCTAACAGTTATGCCTGCCTTATGGGATTTGGTGACACAACCATGTATCTAATAGTATACAGTTGTTTCATGCCTTATCAGTCAACAGTCAAAACTATTTTCCCGAGGAGTTGGAACCCACCAGATGAACTTTTTCCCGAGGCCGCAGGCCGAGGGAAACAGTTCATTTGGGGGGTCCCAACTCCGAGGGAAAATGGTTTTGACTGTTGACTGCTAAGGCATGAAACAACTGTTTTGTTACTTGACCAATGAAAAACCAAAAATTTCTATGTCGAATGTGATGTTTAGATCTACCGACATACAACCGTCAACAATCCAGTACCAAAAACGCTTGGTCATCGGGGTGCTTGTAATTATAGGTGCGTTCGATTACCTAACATGTGACCAGTCAACAGTTGCACGTGACCAGTCAACAGTTTTACGGTAGCACACATTAGCTAGAGTTCGTTTGGTGAATTATTTTGGAAACAGTCGAAATTGATTAATATGCATTTATATAGCGAGTCAGGTAACAATTATGCTACCTTATAGGATTTGGTGACACAACCATGTATCTAACAGTTATGCCTACCTTTCAGGATTCGGTGGCACAACCATGTATTTAACAGTTATGCCTACCTTATGGGATATTGTGACACAACCATGTATTTAACAGTTATGCCTACCTTATGGGATATTGTGACACAACCATGTATTTAACAGTTATGCCTACCTTATGGGATATTGTGACACAACCATGTATTTAACAGTTATGCCTACCTTATGGGATATTGTGACACAACCATGTATTTAACAGTTATGCCTACCTTATGGGATATTGTGACACAACCATGTATTTAACAGTTATGCCTACCTTTCGGGATTTGGTGACACAACCATGCATTAACAGTTATGCCTACCTTATAGGATTTGGTGACACAACCATGTATTTAACAGTTAAGTCTACCTTATGGGATTTGGTGACACAAACATGTATCTAACAGTTATGTCTACCTTATGGGATTTGGTGACACAACCTGTATCTAACAGTTATGCCTACCTTATCGGATTTGGTGACACAAACATGTATTTAACAGTTATGGGTACCTTATGGGATTTGGTGACACAAACATGGAATTAACAGTTATGCGTACCTGATGGGATTTGGTGACACAACCATGTATTTAACAGTTATGCTACCTTTCGGGTTTTGGTGAGACAACCTTGTATTTAAGAGTTATGCGTACCTTATCGGATTTGGTAACACAACCATGTATTTAACAGTTATGCCTACCTTATGGGATTTGGTGACACAACCATGTATCTAACTTTTGGTGAGACAACCTTGTATTTAAGAGTTATGCGTACCTTATCGGATTTGGTAACACAACCATGTATTTAACAGTTATGCCTCCCTTATGGGATTTGGTGACACAAACATGTATCTAACAGTTATGCCTACCTTTCGGGATTTGGTGACACAACCATGTATCTAACAGTTATGCTAACTTTCGGGATTTGGTGAGACAACCTTGTATTTAACAGTTATGCTACCTTTCGGGTTTTGGTGAGACAATCTTGTAGTTAACAGTTATGCGTACCTTATGGGATTTGGAAACACAAACATGTATTTAACAGTTATGCCTACCTTATGGGATTTGGTGACACAACCATGTATCTAACAGTTATGCCTACCTTTCGGGATTTGGTGACACAACCATGCATTAACAGTTATGCCTACCTTTCGTGATTTGGTGACACAACCATGTATCTAACAGTTATGCCTACCGTATGGGATTTTGGTGACACAACCATGTATTTAACAGTTATGCCTACCTTTCGGGATTTTGTGACACAGCCATGTATCTAACAGTTATGCCTACCTGATGGGATTCGGTGACGCAACCATGTATCTAACAGTTATGCCTACCTTATGGGATTTGGTGACACAACAATGTATCTAAAAGTTATGCCTACCTTATAGGATTTTGTGACACAAACATGTATCCAACAGTTATGCCTACCTTTCGGGATTTGGTGACACAACCATGTATCTAACAGTTATGCCTACCGTATGGGATTTTGGTGACACAACCATGTATTTAACAGTTATGCCTACCTTTCGGGATTTGGTGACACAACCATGCATTAACAGTTATGCCTACCTTATGGGATTTGGTGACACAACAATGTATCTAACAGTTATGCCTACCTTATAGGATTTTGTGACACAAACATGTATCTAACAGTTATGCCTACCTTTCGGGATTTGGTGACACAACCATGTATCTAACAGTTATGCTACCTTTCGGGTTTTGGTGAGACAACCTTGTATTTAACAGTTATGCCTACCTTTTGGGATTTGTTGACACAAACATGTATCTAACAGATATGGGTACCTTATGGGATTTGGTGACACAAACATGGAATTAACAGTTATGCGTACCTGATGGGATTTGGTGACACAACCATGTATTTAACAGTTAGGATACCTTTCGGGTTTTGGTGAGACAACCTTGTATTTAACAGTTATGCGTACCTTATCGGATTTGGTGACACAACCATGTATTTAACAGTTATGCCTACCTTATGGGATTTGGTGACACAAACATGTAATTAACAGTTATGCGTACCTGATTGGATTTGGTGAGACAACCATGTATCTAACTGTTATGCTATTCCTACCTTTTGGGATTTGGTAACACAAACATGTATCTGACAGTTATTCTATTCCTACCTTATTGGATTTGGTGACACAAATAAGTATCTAACAGTTATTCTATGCCTACCTTTTGGGATTTGTTGACACAAACATGTATCTAACAGTTATGCCTACCTTTCGGGATTTGGTGACACAACCATGCATTAACAGTTATGCCTACCTTATGGGATTTGGTGACACAAACATGTATCTAACAGTTATGCTTACCTTTTGGGATTTGGTGACACAAACATGTATTTAACAGTTATGCTTACCTTTTGGGATTTGGTGACATAAACATGTATCTAACAGTTATGCTTACCTTTTGGGATTTGGTGACACAAACATGTATTTAACAGCTATGCTATGCCTACCTTTTGGGATTTGGTGACACAAACATGTATCTAACAGTTATGCTTACCTTATGGGATTTGGTGACACAACCATGTATCTAACAGTTATGCCTACCTTTTGGGATTTGGTGCATTAGAACGTTCATGGAGATGCTTTATCATTCTGTAACGTGCTATCGCTATGCTTTGCCTTTCAACAATTAACTTGGCGTTACGGATTCTGAAAACAACTTTCTTTGTTAGGTTATCAAATAATAAGAAAAAGAAAAGAAACGAGTCATGTATAACTAACCGAGAATTCAATAATTAAATAAGACTTAATGTAGTAAGCTAGTTCGATTACGAAATTTAACTTAACAATTATTCAGAAAAGAACTGATACAGTTAGTACCATTACATTAATTACAGGAACACAAACACGGACTCGTGGGGATTTAACTGAACAAAACTTGTTGTTTACCACAATACAAAAGTAATAGTCAATCTTATTAGAATATCATGTTCGGAATCAGGAAGAATTATTGGTAAGGTATCGAAACAACTGATATTTAACGAAAAGAAAACATTTTTTTAATCACCTCCACCAAGTAAACTGTTCCAAAAACGCTTTTGTCTTGATACATCCTTAACTATGATAATCCTACGCTAAATAATGTTTAGTCTTAATTTCCTTATATTATCTAAATATAAGATATAAATAGAAAGTAAAAATATTAACATGTGCGTTTGTGAGACACTTTATTTTGGTATGATACCGAATGTGGTGATGGTGGAAATTTTAGAATCAACTGTAAGTATAAAACGTTTGTTTAATCAGCGAATGGCATAATTTTTTGTTAATGGTTTACGGATATCAAACAGATAAAAAGTAACTGATAGGCATTGTATGATCGTATTCAATGGTAAGAAAGAGGATATAGAATATCAAGTCTGAACTTTAATTATTAAATGAGAAAATGATGAAACGCAACAGCATTTAGCAGTTTGTTTTGTCTGGTAATAAAATTAACTGACAAAGTAACATACCTGATACCTAAATCGTCATCTTCTCCTCCCCATCCAAAGTACAAATTAGAAAATCCGTTGATCTTTTCAAAAGCAGCTCTGGGCAACTGAGTCACTCCACCGATAAGGTTTGGAAAGACTATTCTGAAAGCGATATATAAAAAACGGAGTTTAATTCATGACATGCTATGTGTTGCGCGGATCAAATATCTGAACACACAGGGCTTATTTGGTGGTTTCATTAGAAATTAGATTACATGGATATGTAAGATAGGACTACTCGAGGAAGCGAATAAGACAGGTTTCATAGAAAATGATATTCATGGGAATGACTGACAACTATCCAACAATAATCCAATGGACGATTAATAGCGGTTGGCTCATTATATTATTAAATCATATATGATAAATCATGGAAACGGCTCACATGTGCGTTTTGGTGCGTAAGGTGATTCGTGGAGACGGCTCACCACTGAAAGGTAATTCGTGGAAACGACTCACAACTGTAAGGATATTCGTGGAGACGGCTCACAACTGTAAGGTAATTCGAAGAGACGGCTCACAACTGTAAGGTAATTCGTGGAGACGGCTCCCATTTATATATATACAAATCGTAGAGACGATTCACAACTGTATGGTAATTCGTGGAGACGGCTCACAACTGTAAGGATATTCGTGGATACGGCTCACCACTGTAAGGTAATTCGAAGAGACGGCTCACAACTGTAAGGTAATTCGTGGAGACGGCTCCAAATAAAATGATAATTCGTGGAGACGGCTCACAACTGTAAGTTAATTCGTGGAGACGGCTCCCATTTATATATATATAAATCGTAGAGACGATTCACAACTGTATGGTAATTTGTGGAGACGGCTCCCGACTGTAAGGTAATTCGTGGAGAATGCTCCCAATGATATGATAAATCATGGAAACAGCTCACAATTGTATTGTATTTCGTTGATACGGCTCGCCACTGTGAGGTAATCCGTGGAGAATGCCCCCCTATCCTATGATAAATCATGGAAACGGCTCACAACTGTAAGGTAATTCACGAGGACAGATTACTACTATACAATAATTCATTGGTTAAGACAACCAATGACTACTGTCTTTGAGATGAAATAAAACACTTTTTCGATTTTCTATAGACATGTACTTACCTATAATTAAACTTGTCGATTGCAACAGACAGGTGGCGTACGTTTGTTCCACACCCGTAGTAGATGCGGTCATCCTCAGGAATGAGATCGACGTCATGGAAAACAAAACACGTGTAATTGTATGTTTTTATAGCCTCGGCATATCCAATGTTCATCAGCATCCCCCTGTTAAAAGTGTTGCTTCCAGCCTGCAAAATACCATTTCCTTGTCATTACACATTGTCGTTCTCATCTAACAAACGACATATAAGTTGTAGTATCACACAAGGTATTGTTTTCTATAACACTAAGCCTTATTCCCAGCCTGCAAAATACTGTATCGTTTTTATAACATTTCGTGTTGCTCCCAACCTGCAAAATACTTTATCACAGATTTACATTTTCACGCTTTATCAACTTTGTTCAGGTGCATTTCGTTTTCGGCACTGAAGGGCGCTCTTGTGTGATTAGCTCTATTTGTATAAAACACAGCGACTGNAAAATTTATTGTTCAGATCTTAGAAACAAAGGGATTGGGCAACAGACAAAGCGGTGGAGGTCTTCTTATATTTCTCATTAATAACATGACGAAGTCCATATTGCATATTTCAATCAGGATATTTAAACTAAGATCTTGTTAAACCCCTTAGGCCAAAATAATGTAACGATCCAGGGATGATTAGGGAATTAGAAGTCAATTTATTCTGTGCTGAAGAGAATCAGGTGAGATTCAAGGATAATCCTACGAAGAAACAGACCGCCATACTTACGAGTCGCATGTTCGGAATTAACACAGACATGACAAGAAAATGCATCATATATATAGTTACCAGAGACTTGAATCTTCACAGTTCGATGTCATATTCCTTTTATTTTTATTTTGGAACTGTTAT